GGAAAGAGAGCATTCCTGAAAGTATTGAAGAAGAAACCAAAACTACAGGAATATGTGGAGACTTTCAATGACCCGACATCTGCAAGAGAAGACATCAAGAGTGCTGGTGAACTTTTGATGATGGCTGTTTATGGTGCTGGAGAATGGCAGAAGTCCATCAATTCCCATCGCTATGAACGTTTCGTTCAATCAGCTACCTCCGCGAAAACTGAAGTAAGGTTAGCTAAGCTTCCTCCTACAGCTGGCTCAGTTGAACAACATTCATTGCGAGTCTACTTCCAAGTTCAACAGTGGAAGGGCAACAATCAACTCAATCCACGGGACTGGGGCTGGGAACTTAAGGATGAAGTGCTCTTGCCTGTGATGACGAAGGAAGCTCCGGCGCCCGCTAGTATCCTTAAAATGATCCACTGTTCATGCAAAGGAGGCTGCACAAATCGATGTGGATGTAGACTTGCAAATCTCAAGTGCTCCAGCGTATGTTCAGGATGTCACGGCAATTCTTGTGCCAATGCCCCTCCTACTGATTTGACTTCGGATACTTCCGAATGTTCGAATGATTCCGATGCGGTCTTTGTTGATCAATTCGATTCAATAATCACTGATCACATTGGAGGACTGTTGGATGACGATGATGAAAACCACAGCGTTCTATCAGCACAGGAAGAGGATATGACGATGAGTGGAGAAGCCGATGACTTTCAAGTCTTCAGTGAGCCAAGCACGAGTAAACGTCGACGTGTCAAATAGCTGATCTTCACACAGGTAGGGACTAAAATCCATTTTTCCTATCATATTATCACATTTTTATATCATTGGAAGTTCAAATGCATTTTTTTTTGTTTTTCAGATCATATGAATTGTCCAACGGTTTCCTGAGGAGATTTGCCAGAAGCATGTGAATATTGCTGGATAATTCCATTTGAAGTTATTCTTCTTGACATGACAGTTCAATGCTCGATGAGCTCATGATGCAGGTTCGAGGCATCTGCATCGAAATGATTTCCAATGTTATTATTCTTGGATTTTTATATAGACATGAGGCGCATTAGAATAATTCATAATTATTCTGCAAAAGTATTATTAAATTTGTCATCACAATAATAACTATTGTATTAGGGATATAAGTCATTTATTTAAATTTATTTCTGTCGTTCTAGAGAACATTTGCTTTTCATGCATTCGTGTGGTTTTTAGTCATTCTGATGTTTTGTAATCATAAATTGTACAATCGAATAAATCATTTTGTTCACTTGATAAAATTTACAAGTTCATTACTCATCTAGTCTGCTATCCCATTGAAAGTGAGAATTGCTATCGTTCCCCAATTTTGATTGATCTTTTTCATGATGATTTTTTTTATAGAGACTTTTACGAGCCAAAAAAAGTCTTCTCTCTCTCTTTATTTTTCAGAAATTTATAAATTCCTTAAAGGTAGCCATTTTTTCAAAAGCACCTGCTAATTTGAATTTAATGAAAAATTGGTGAAGATAACGAAACAAACTGTCATGAACCTTATTTTTTTGTCGTGTTACCTGCTCTTGTTTTCTGAAAAAAAAATTGTTTCTTGAATATTTAAAACTACTAGTTTTTAAAAAAATTTAATGGAATTGTTTATGTGGTTCATTCACATTTTAAATAGCAATTGATTGCTAATTGATTGTCTGTGGATCATGANTTCCGTACTTTTTTTGAAATTATTAATAAACAATGCTCCTAGACGACAATCTTTTTCACTCAAAAAATCATTGATCACATGTTCTAAAAGTGTCTAAAGTTTCATGACTTTGGCTGCTTTTTTTCCTTGGGTTTTGCAGTTTTTTTTGTGATTTCCATAAGATCANAAAAATGCTTTAACAATTATTTGTATAAAAAATAGGCACTTTTGGGTATAGGTTCCCGAATGACATTTGTAGAGCATTAATTCCCCTACAAACAGGTATTTTTTTTTCTCGATTAAATAAACTGAGAGGAAATTGTCATTATGAGAAGCATCGGGATGCAAATTTCCATTCGTTTTTATTTAATTAAAAATTCTGCGGTTATTATTCGAAAGACCTGTTTGGATATGTTTATAAGGGCAATTTACTCGACATTTTGGTTATTTTTTTGTTCCCAGAGGTGTTATTTTAGGGTTTCTTAAGTAAATCGGGATAGACTGACTGAACTATGAACAAAGGAGAGCCCACACGTGTTGGTCACGTGAAACAGAGAAACTTTCGAAATAACCAGAACTGAGATTTTACGACATGGGACCGTACTCGTTAAATTTATTTTCTTCTCTAAATTTTGGATTTTCGAGGAAAGTGTTTACTCAACGATAATTTTGGAGGGTTGTAAATTATAAGAACAAAACTCAAGTATTTGACATTTACTATTTCCGTAACGGTTTTTCTCACGCTTGCGATGCTGTTTTTCGTTCTCTTTGTCCATTGTATTCCAGACTTTGTTTATTCTTCTATTTCTGGTATATTTTTAATTTTCTGAACTATTTAAATTATTTTCCAACAATAATTTGAATCTCGCGGACTATTATGGCCGATTAATAGCGCCATCTATAAATTTCAACGTCAAGACATCACAACATCGTCGGTAGTGTTTTTTTTTTTCACCAGGAGCTGGTACCACTGGTTCGAGGGAGCTCCAATCACAACGCTTCATCGCTCTCTCTCAAGAGACGTTTAAATTGACCGCGCTACCCCCACCCGATCGGTACTTGAGACGTTGCTGCTCGTTTGGGTTGTGTGCGCAGAAATTTCATTTTTCCGTACTTTTTTTGAAATTATTAATAAACAATGCTCCTAGACGACAATCTTTTTCACTCAAAAAATCATTGATCACATGTTCTAAAAGTGTCTAAAGTTTCATGACTTTGGCTGCTTTTTTTCCTTGGGTTTTGCAGTTTTTTTTGTGATTTCCATAAGATCACGGGTTAAATGACCACTTTTTCAAAAATTCATAATAAATTAACCATGTTCCCCAGCAGTCTGAAACTTTGCACACGCCTTTCCCATCATTTAAAGAATACGTAAAAAATAAAAGAGAAAAATGGCTGCTTTTTTTCCAACCCTCCGGGCTCGCCCGATTATCCTTAATTTCTTTCTGGATTTTTACTGATAATGGTAGGACCAGAATCACACTGGGTCATGAGTCCACACTGTATTATTTAAACTTTGTGTAATTAACTGAATAACTTTTTTACATTAATCCATCGCGACTGTAATAATAATAAATTACTTCAAACTGAATTGAACATGCTTTGTAATGTATATCTTTTCGTGTACTTGATGCGCGCATTCGTTGTTGACTCCACAGTGAGATGGTTAACACACGACACCCGGCTGATCACCCGAAAAACTTTCGAATTTCTATCATCGGATTTAATCGGGCATACTCGTGAATCACGGACCTAATGATAGCGCTAGCAAGTTTTTGCATACACAGAATATGGGGGAACCATGAAGTTCATCACTTCAATAACCCGTGATATTTCAAGATAGAAAGCATTTTTTTGAAATGATAAAAATCTACACTGAGAGAAAAACGACCAAGTTCTCAAACAAGTCTTGTTTGGCCCAATAAAATCGTTAGTTGAAAATTACAAAAAATATAATAGTTTGATTCGAATTTGAAAATCTCAAACATGAATTGTTGACTCAAGAGGCGAATTATTCATACAAGACGGTGCCTTTTTAGGATAAAAATATTTTTTATAGAGGGAAGTTTATCCAGAAATATTTTATCCCCTAGTTACAAGATAGCTGTCATATCATTATCATTATTTCATTTAAGAATTCATTTTTGTCTGTGATTATTGAATAGCAGAAATGACAAACTACTATCCCTCGTTTCATATAAAATGAGCATTTGCCGGGAGCAAAATACGTATGGAAACATCTAATAATAAAGAAGTAGTCCTAGGAATTACATTTCTTGCTTGCACAGAGAATAAATTTTTTTGAAATGACGCACGCTTCTCATGTTCGGCACAAAAAATCCTTTTTTGATAATATTTAACAAAAGATTTATTTGGCACAAGTAAGGCTTCTTTGAGAACTCTGCTCTTTTTCTCTCAGTGTATGTTGAAGAAACTTTATGTGGATATCGTTTGATACGTGGAGCTAAAAAATCAATACGGTAAGAATTACAACCAAGAATTTACTTTTTTGATCTAATGATTTCTCGGTTTCATACCGCGTATAAATTGAAAAAAACCATCAAATACTTGAAAGTACACTGATGAATAAATTATATGATGAAAACGAATTTATATTTAGAAATATTACAATTAAATTATGTAAAAAGTGGGATAAAAAGTTTCTGAGTTTTTTCGATTTGAGTATGATACGCAATTCAAAAAACATTTACCCTTATTATTCAAAAATTTCCCCTTATTATTCAGTTCTTAGCTTGATCCGTCATCTGGTAGTCAGACAGCACTTTTCTAGCGTTGGAAATTAACTTTTGTTATTTCTTGAAAAAGCCTGTCATATTGAATGATCTTTATTGGTGGGTCATTTAAAATTTCTTGTGTAAGCACACTAATCGAAAAGGCATGGGACTGTCACTTTGCAATTGCAGAACTTTTACAACTCAGTAGTGTCAACCCTTGGCTTATGAAGATTCCTTGAAATTTTTGTTTCTCTTGATGGATTTCTTTGATAATTTATATAATTCATTCTATCCCTTATGGAAGATTATATATGAGTTCTACATATCAGCCAGAGAGTCATGTATATTTTTCCGAGTGAGTTTCCTAAAATTAGAATTTTTTTCTCTTTGACGCCAACAATTTCGCAGGTGTTGATCGTTTCGCCTAGACCCGTTCATCTCTTTATATCCGCCATTCCTTGAGCTATAATATTCCTTAAACTTTCTTTAATTTTGAAGCACCTGTTGAAAACTTTCTGTTCGCTCTTCCGCTGGTCAGGGAGCAAGATACGAACTTCACCTCTCCACCTTCTACTCAGTCAATTAGAACCTCTGCTTTTTTTTCACAGGCGAAGGAAACTGATCCAGAAATTTCTCCAGAAGTCGGCACGCTCCTCTACCATCTCGCCTCTAAAATCAAGCCTCAGATTCTGGACAAGCTCCCACTCCTCTCTCTTTGTATTTCCCAAAAAAAGCTCGACACTACCCAGCGTGTCGATGCCGCCCTCACTTACCTCCTAGATACTATTAACACCCCGATCAACATCCCAGACTTCGAGGTTGCTTGTGGCGTCGGCGTTACCGTCACCCCAGACCAGATAGAGGCCTGTGTAGAAACTCTCATCAAGAAACATCTCGAAGAAATAAAAAGCAAACGTTACAAATTCAATGCAGGTCCTTTGATGCAAGAAGTCCGCACTATTTTAAAGTGGGCTGATGGGAAAACGATAAAAAACGAAGTAGACCTTCAGATTCTTGATATCTTAGGTCCTAAAACTGATGCAGATCTTGCACCTGTTAAACCCCAAAAACAAAAATCCAAATCCGACAAGAGTGTCATAGAAAATTCAAACAAAAAGGAGAAGAGCTCAAAAGAAAGAGGAACCATTGAAAGTTATAAAAATGATAAGACCCCCGAAGAAGCGTCAAAGGACTCGGCAAAAACAATAGCAGAAGTGATGTCTAAACTTCAGTTCCACAAACCTGGAGAAAATTACAAGACCGAGGGCTACATAGTGACTCCACACACCCACAGGCTCCTTCAGGAGCACTTGAAAATTACCAAAGGCTTGGTAATCACTAGATTCCCCCCTGAGCCCAATGGAATCCTCCACATTGGTCATGCCAAGGCCATCAACATCAATTTCGGTTATGCAGCGGCAAACAACGGTAAACAAAAGCGGGAAACTCATAATTGATGATGGTGGTAAACATTTATGTGGATGATTTTCCCGATTATTGGCGTAATTTTACCTCCAAAAATTTATTTTGCTGGAAGTTTTTTTTTAACTTACCTGTCAATTTTCCTAAAATTCTATTACTTTCACGCAAAAAAAATCAAAAATTGAATTCAAGTGAACTGAAGCCGATTGTAACATTCGATGAATATATCATTCTCTCTGTAATGAGTGACTTTTGTAGGCGATAATATCGTCGTCGGAAAACCGACGGGGCGTAAGTGGAGCTTGGGCGAAATGATATTGTGATAATTCTTTTTAAATTTGATTATTCCCACGATGACTTCATAATCAATGGAATTGGTTGAGTTGAGCCATTGTGCTTTACCACTCCAATACGAAATGATTATTTCTGAATGGTCAAATTTCCATGAATACCAGAAGGTTATTCGGGTTCTGAGGAGTTAAATAATTGAAGGATTTTATTTATTCTAGAATCGGGAACTTGCATGAAGCTCAATTTTTTTTAATTTCCCTATGCACACATTCTCCGTAGCATATAGAAATATTGCCAAGATGTTTTATGATAATGAATTGAAAATCAGTCATTTTCGAGGCCAATTTTTCAAGTTATTAGCTATTTCAAGGTGTTTGAAATTTTCAATTTTTAACAAATTAATTATTAATTAATTTACAATATTTTAAACGTTTGAGAATGAAAAATGTAATATTCAGGTTTCAAACTTAAGATTAGAAAATTGAAAAAAATTCATGCAAGTTCCCTATTGCCGAAATTTCCTAAGGAAAATGTATATAACAATAGACACAAGGTTTAATAACGGTATAATTGGAATTTGTTATAGTTTGTTGCCGTGATGGAGTTTAGTTTTTTGGTTTACTTCAATTTTCAGTTAAATTCCGCCAGTTTTTGTTTCTAACTATTTGTTTTGTTTTATTGCGGCGTGGAGAGAGAACACAAATCTCACCCTTTCAATCCGAAATAATCTTCCCAAGCAAAATTGACTCATCTCGTTTAACTTCTCTGTTGCTATGTCCGAATAATTTTTCTCAGGTCTCTGTTATCTCCGTTACGATGACACGAACCCTGAGAAGGAAGAAGAAAAATTCTTTATCGGAATTCGAGAGATGGTAGAATGGTTGGGATACAACCCCTCCAAAATCACCCACTCCTCCGACAACTTCCAACAGCTCTACGAGTGGGCAGTTGAATTAATCTCAAAGGGTCATGCTTACGTCTGTCATCAAAAAAGCGAAGAGATGAAGGGATTCAATCCTCCACCTTCCCCCTGGAGAGAGCGGCCAATTTCTGAGAGTCTTCAGCTGTTTGAGGACATGAAGAATGGATTATTGGAAGAAGGAGAAGCAACCCTGAGGATGAAATGTACACTTGAAGAGGGTAAGCAGGATCCAGTGGCTTACCGAATAAAATATTCACCTCATCACAGAACCGGTGATAAATGGTGCATTTATCCGACATACGACTTCACACATTGCCTTTGTGATAGTATCGAGAATATTACGCATTCTCTCTGCACTAAGGAGTTCCAGACGAGGAGAAGCTCTTATTACTGGCTCTGTAATATTTTGGAAGTTTACTGTCCAGTCCAGTGGGAGTATGGGCGATTAAATGTCAGTTATACTGTGGTTTCGAAAAGGAAAATAGCAAAATTGATTGGTGAAGGGATTGTTAGTGATTGGGATGATCCTAGACTGTTTACGTTAACTGCATTGAGAAGAAGGGGTTTTCCTCCAGAGGCTATTAATAATTTCTGTGCGCAAATGGGGGTGACTGGGGCTCAAGCTGTGGTTGATCCCATGGTGCTGGAGGCCGCTGTCAGGGATGTACTAAATGTGCAAGCTAGCAGACATATGGTAGTGCTCGAGCCTGTCAAGGTTACCATCGAAAATTTCCATGGGGAGGGGCAGGCGGCAGCCCAAGGTTTTGATGTGCCTGATTTTCCTATTGAGGTGGAGAGAGGACAGCATTACGTGGATTTTGATGAGATTATTTATATCGAGGCCTCTGATTTCAAAGAGGTAATTTTTGTCTTTTAATGCACGATATGGTTTCGGGAGTAATTCTTGAAGGGGTTTGGGGGGAAAAGAGTAAGAGATATTTTTGCTTCCGAAGGGAAGCATTGTAATTGTTTAAATATAAATTTCCAATTTTTTTTGTTAAAGTAGCTAAGTATGGTCTGAAAAGTTTTTTTTTATTTTCCTATGTAACAATGAAAAGTCATGTTTTACCTTAAGCTACGGGGAAAATAAATTAGGCTCAACGTACGTAAATTTCACTCCATGGGTTCTTTCATTTTGTTGTTATCTTTTTTTTTATTGAACTTCAACGAGTGTTTTATTGTACAGTTTACTAAGTTGGTGAATATTAGGTGTGTGAATATGACTCGACTCTTTCCCAACAGATGTCGTTTTTAGTATTGCTTACGTGCACTAATAAATGGCAACACTTGTATTCGATAGTACTTTATGTCAGCTGTCAAACGCACTACGTGACATTTGGTTGAAGTGTAAGCAACAAGTGTTTTTGCCTCCGTGACAATGTCGATTTTCGTTCCAAGTAAACATCATTTGCGGGAAGTGTTATTATATTGCAAAGAAAAGTGTAGCGGAAACTCATCGTTTGCTTGTGGAAATTTACGGTGAGCATGCTCCATCTAATACAACTTGCAAGGGATGGTTTCGACGATTTCAAAATAATGATTTTGGCACTGAGGACAGAGAACATGGAAAACCACAAAAAAAATTTGAAGATGCTGAATTGGAGACATCGTTGGCAGAGGATTCTTGCCAAACTCAATCAGAATTGGCTGCAGCATTAAATGTTGAACGATCAACTGTTGCAAAGTGTTTAAAAGCAATGGGAATGGTTCAAAAAGTTGGTAACTGGGTTCCATATGAATTGAAAGAAAGAGACATGGAACGTCGAAAAACAATTTGTGAAATGCTACTTCAAAAACAGCAAAAAAAAGGATTTTTGCATCGAATAGTCACAGGAAATGGAAAATGGATATATTATGAGAATCTTAAACGCCAAAAAACTTATGTGAAGCCAGGTGAACCCGGCCCATCCTAGCCAAAAAGAAATATTCACAGTGCCAAGGTTATGCTCTCCATTTGGTGGGATCAGAGAGGTGTTGAATATTATGAGTTGCTCAAACCCTCTCAAAGTACTAATGAAGAAGTTTACCGACGACAACTAATGCGTTTGAAGCGAGCCATAGAAGACAAACGACCAGAATGGGTGAATAGGCACAGTAAATTAATTCTTCAACATGACAATGCCAAACCACATACCGCCCAAGTTGTGAAAAGATATTTAGATGGACAGGACTGGGAAGTGCTACTCCACCCGCCATATTCGCCAGACATAGTTCCTTCGGATTACCACTTATTGCGAACATTGCAGTCAGATTTTACGGGAGAACGGTTCACTTCATACGAAAGTATCAAAATTTGGCTTGATAATTGGATCAGCTTAAAAGACCAGGATTTTTTCAGGCAAGGAATACGCAAATCACCTGAAAAATGGGCGAAGGTTGTAGCTGCAGATGGAACATACTTTCAATAAACTTTTCTTTACTTTTCTAACTAAGCAAATGTGTTTTATTTGAACAAAAAAGGGCGGAGGCATATTCACACACCCAATAGTTGTATTCTTAATTTGTTTTTATTTATTTGAAATACAATTGGAAATTATTACACTGAGATTTAATCTCTGAAATTCTCATAAAAATGTTAAAATGTGAAAAATTGCTAACAAGTGATTAATTTTAGTAGATTTATGGATTAATTAATCGTATCATTACAGGAAGAGGAAAAAGGTTTTCGTCGTTTAACTCCGAAACAGTCTGTCGGTCTGAAATACGCGGGTATCGTCTTGACCTTCCAAAGGATTGAGAAAGACGAGAGTGGAAAAATTACTGGTCTCGTAGTTAAACAAGAGCCACTAATCGATAAAAATAAGCCTAAGGCGTTCATTCATTGGGTAGCTAAGCCTAAACTCGTGTCGATTCGCCTCTACGAACGACTGTAAGTTTTTGAGTATTCGAGTGGTTAGCTGAGAATAGGAGAAAATTACAAATATTTGAAGAAGTCTGGAAACTAGTAAATGATAGGAAACATTTCAGGAGATATTTTCTGTAGAGAATTTCATTCCCAATAGAAAATGTCTTGAAGCCTTCTTTTCTAAAGCCAATAGTTTCCAAAAACTTTGCAAAATAATCCACAAATTTGATTGGACTTATCTTCTTCATCGGTTCACTGCTGGAAATGATGGGAGAAATTTTAAATTCCATGTAATTAACATGTGAATCGTTTCTCTTCATTTCAGATTCAATCATAAAAATCCTGAGGACACGAACGAGGTTCCCAATGGCTTCCTCAGTGATATCAACTCAGAAAGTAAGAAACAGGTTGTGGGATACATTGACAGAAGCCTCGAAGCAATCGCCAAGCCATTCATCCAGTTCCAGTTCGAACGGCTTGGATTCTTCTCTGTCGATCCTGATACTAAGCCAGGAATGGTAATGTTCGGATTGCAATCTAATCTTTCCCATTGTTTTCTTTTCATGAACTCATAATCGTTCTTCCTTAACTATTAATTCTCATTTTGTGTTCCAGTTGGTCTTCAACAGGACAGTAACGTTGAAAGAAGATACTGGAAAGGTGTAACTAAAGTCTTCAGCAGTTTCTAACTGAAAATTACTGAAAAATGTTCGAATTCATTGGTACAGTGACAATATAAGTGATAAAATGATAGAATGGTTCGAGGTGAAAAATTTCGCTATGTATGAGATTATTTAATTGGTTTTATGAGAGAATGGTAAAATACCTCTTGCATTCAAAACTCTCTACTGAGAAGGATGGTCCAATGTTTCTTCCTAGCGTGTATATTTTTTCAGATATTTGCGTAGTCAACAAAACTGCCACATATTTCCATATCTTTTGCTATTAGTTCAACGAATATCTTGGTTTTGATTACAAACTCTAGGAAAAAATATTGAGAGACAGTTCTTGCAGTTGTTTCTTGTAATTCTGATATTTATGAGATAACATAACTGGAATTTTTTGCTTCAGCTATTCATCATTGCTTTGTTCGTAACTCATCACTAGAATTTGTTGTAATTACCTTGAAGAACCTTTTTTACATAAAAGATTTTCTAAGCCTTTTTATGGGGAATTATTCCGTATTCGTTGTTCCAAGAAGATTGAAATTTTAGGATTATTTCTATGGTTTAGGAGCATTTAATTCATCATACAGGATTCGTAGGTTGGTACCATATATTTAATGTTGATAAAGGCGTCTTCTCCTCCATATTTTTCAAGGATTTCCAAAGTTTCTTGTATGAGATCTGCCGGATTTTCACCTTTTTGCTGAGAATAATCAATTCCTTCTCCAAGATTTACTGAGAAATTTCATTAATGAAAAAATTATTACTTTGCAAAATGATTCAACTATTAAGGAATTAAATCACTTTTTTTGCGAATTACCATTTCTGTCCTTCAGGAGGTTCAGTATGGGTAATATTTGTCGAAAATATGGAACGAGACATTCACCAACGCAGTCAGCAGAACGAACAAGTTGTTGGAGTACTCTCATCGTCGTACAAATTATCTCTGGCATTTTTGTATTCAATGCGTCTATATGAAACAATTAGTAAATATTATCAATATATAAAAATGACCGAATAGTTACAGTATCAAGAAAACAAATAATTCTTCAATTATTTGAGCTTATAAGATGATTTCTGATACCTGATTCAGTGGTAAAGTGGTACATTGCAAAATTGAATTGTCGCAATAATGAGTGATTTTATAATATAATATCAGCAAATATTTCTCAAAAAAGGCTCCTAACTTGTTCGCTTAAGGGGGAGCCACCTTGAAACTTTGATGGTTTATGGTGGCTGAATGGACCTATCGCGCAACTTTTCAAGGACATTCACAAAAGTGTAAAATATATAGAATTCAACCCATTTTTTTATGCCATCATCAGACATTCATGTTTCAGGACGGTTCCTCCTTAATTCAAAACGAATACGGCACGAAAAATAATAATGTTTGCATTAATCAGTGAAAATCAATTGAGTCAATATTAATGATCATTAATTTAGTTGATAATACTCCAAATGGTGCGATAGTATCATTACCAACTTTTTATAGGAATAATCAACTGCGAGACAACTGGCAATATCTTCGGTCCTCCGTGCTCTAGCATATCCGAGATTCCTTGTTCCACGAGAACCTTATAAGGGTGCTCAGTCTCAGTCAATCCATCAAAAAACATGGGCAGATAATGTCTGAAGTCCAAGTCCTCAATATTAACTTTCCATGTTATCGGTGATCCGTCCTTCTCCATTGAAATTGGAAAAACTCCTCTTTCGTAGAACTTGCGAAAGTTGGAGGGCTTTGGTGGTACCGGCTTGTAGAGACCGACCTTGGGTGGTTTGGCGACCACCGTATTTTCCTAATAATACCCCTAAATCATCAATCGTTTTTCCTCACCTTCACACCACTAATGATCCATAACAATGCATGCAATTATGAGATATTTTTCGGAAAAGGAGTAGCGAGTGGTTTGCTCCTTATTTCATCACGTTAGTTATTTCATTGAGTAATTTTCTCACCTGAAGTGCTTGAATAGTAAATGCGGGTACAACTCTCGGTTTCCTCTTGTATTTCGGATTATTCTTATGAATTTCAGCCCAAAATTCTCGCTGATTTACCATCGTTCTTGCCCAAAACCACAAGCAATTTGTCTATTTTTATTTTGTTATGAAATTATGAGAAAATGAAGAGAAAAAAAAATACTTGAAATTTGAAAGAAAAAAAAATCCTAGAATAGTTATTTGAATTTGCCAAAGAATCACTTAAACTGAAAACAAAGTTTTTCCCCCCTGATTGCAGAGCACTGAAGGTAATCACGAATATTTAGGTCAAACAGTTGTGAGAACCATAGCAACCGCTTCCCATATTCCCAATTTCAAGTGATGACAGTTTGTGCTTCTACGGCCGGATGGTACACGATTAGCCAGAGCTACAAATCAGGAAGAAGGTAGAAGCTTGTGCTTTCAGTTCAGAAGCAACGATACATCTTTTACGTCCCTCGAGGTCGGTAATTAATTATCAATTCGAGATTTCTAGTTTAAAGTCAATTCCGCGAATATAATTCCCGATGAATCAAACCCAGAGTTAACCCAAACTTAACTCCAAAAAAGATAATTACGTAGATTAATCGTGCATGGGCCAATCATTATAACCTGGCAAGTTCTTTTGCTAGGATTAATGTTGTTCTGTCCCCTGATATCCTAAGAAAAACGTGCATCATGTACGGTGGCTGTGTCCTTTGTATACTGAGGAAAGGCTCTGTATACTGAGTATTGCAGTTATGCAATAAACTGAAAGAGAAAAAAATTGTTTCCACCTTTTGACATGTTCTATGTTCTACATTTTTGAGGCCGTCCAAATTCTAGGTTTTACGGGCCGTTATCCCTTTGAATCGGGAATTTTCGTTCATAAGAAAGTAGATAATATAGAAAAGACTGGCCGTTATCCCTCTTAATTAGGATTGTTGCTTTAATAATGGTAGTCGATAGTAAAGATTATAAAATTAGAGAGTCACTTTTTGAGCTGCCCACCTTTTGACATGAAAGTCTTTCTCAGTACTATTTCGGATCGAATCGTGATCAGAGGCATGAATATCGGGATTGAAACAAAGAGGGTATAATGCGGGGGTCCGCTCGCACTATCAAATGACCATTCGAGAGAATTGATACCTGGGCGACGCAGGCCAGCGATTTTAGCCGAAACAAATGACGGATACAGGGTAGGAGATCTCCACGAAAAAGTGAACATCGAGCAATTCGTCCAGCAATGCAGTCGAGAGCACTTCACGATTTTCCTGCATATTATTCATTAAATTCATTATTCAATATGTGCATTTTCATACAACCAATTGTTTAACGAGTTCTACAATATACCAAGAATTATTCTAAATTGGAAGGATTACTTTGTAAAAATATTTCAGTACTAACTGACGCGAACAATATTCACTACAATCAATAATCAAGTAAGGGAATTGACCGCAATTGACTGTAACGTATACATGTCATATTTTTATATAGCAGAGTAAACCTTGGTTTGATTATTAAGTGCTTTAATAGAGAGAAAAAAAATCCAGACGTAACTCTGGGTTTATGGAAATTTCTTAAAATTTCGCTCTGTTCTTCGGGTTTTATCCATTAGGAATTAATGAGAAACATTATCAATTATCGTCATGTACTCTATATAGATGGTTTTTCGTGGGCTTTGACGCTGCACGAGATAATATAGGGGTTTAATTCAGTTATAAGCTGGTAAAAAAAAGGATAAAGTCAAATCTTAAATGAGGATGCGAAGTTGGAGTACTGGAAAACAAACTGTAAAACAGCCCGTTTCGTTCTACACCTTAAGAACATCTTCACAGAAAATCCAAATTTGAAACTTATTCTTTCAATATTTGGAAAATCATAGAAAAGAAAGAAACCGTCTCGCAGAAATTCACCTCCGTCATTTTCTCTAATGAGATCTTTGTTTCGCCCATGTTCTCCGTCGGACGGAGATCTTCCAACAAATACACAGGATCTGTCGCAAACGGATTTCCGAAGTTTGTTTCATGTGATCAGTCTCAGAGAGAAGTTCATGTTTGTTCCTCATATGAGACGGATTCGAACAAATACGAATGTCCGCCTCAGATAGATGACGCCGAAACAAACATCTACAATCCGTCCGAGAAGGATCCTTCATATTTTTTTGAAAAATCTGCCGACGGAGAACATGGATGCAAAATTCCCATAAGAATGCAATTTTTGTTAATTATGCGTTACTGTCGAGAATGACCGATCTTAGAACAACATATTCGAAGTTCCCTTTTAAGATGAGGAAAAACTTTTCTTTGGACAAGTCTATCGATAATTTCTCTTAGGAGTTCTTGCCAACGAGGCACTTCCGTAATTTTGTAGATATGAGGATTTTTGGTTTATTTTTCATTCCTTGCAATCCGTTTTGATCGAATCAATCAAATTAACTCACATGATAATGCCACTTCACCAGAGATTAACATTCCGCTGGTTGCGCAAAAGTTGCAACCGCCGTTAGTCGCGCCGCGCCGCATCAACTTAAATCAACATGATGATAAATTTGAATATGATACCTAGGAAAAATCGGAAAAAAATCAAAAATGATCTGCATCGTATACTTGGAGAAGTCCCGTAATATTTTTTATGTTCAGTGTTATCCTTAATTATATATTCAAGCTCAGTGTCCATGTTTTTCTGAAAATTTGCCGTATAGGTACACGGTACCCAGCCTGGAGTTTCGGAATAAAAATTTGAAAATCTTACTACTTATGATATTTTTGGCGGATAGTTTCATTGATAGGGCTTCTAGACACTTCAAAATGAGATGTCAAATTTTTTCAAAATTTTCTGAGGCTTTCCTGCAGTGTAATGTAAAAAATCGGAAAAAGTGCGGCGCGGCGCACATAGCGTGACCACCGGAGTGTTAAATGTTTTACGGGATTTTCGTCGATTAATTCAACTCCATTGGTGTCTGATGAAAATGAATGAGATGAATATTTAATAACAGTATAAAGTGAAGCCAGGAGGATTGAACCTACTATTCAATATACAGCACCAAATTGAATAATTCTAAAACTGATAGATAGTGCAATTGGATCAATGCCATCGGAAAATGGTATTCGTGCCATAATCGTTCATTTTCTGCAAGTTATCGAATTTCGATGATATTAAGCCCACGTTAGACTTGCTAACAGAAGGCTTCCAGGTACGAGAGATTGAAAGAAACAAAGATCTGTCAATTTTTAACTAGCTTCTACATAAAAATGAAATCAGCAGCGAAGCGCGAAAACGGCTCAAGTCAAAACTAGCAACTTCTTTTAGGAGAAAGCTATTGTCATCAACCTAGGAGTCAATTTGTATGGAAATGTTCGAAAAAAAAAAAAAAAGATCGGTTTACCACTTTGCTACCGAAATTTCAAGAAAACAAAATAAAACCAGCAGGGGTCGTCGAGCATGTCATTGAGTGATGTCTTTTTTTTGCCATCAATACATTAATGGCGAGTCTTCGAATGGTCTGAAATATTACAAAAGTTTATAGCTTCACAACATTAACTAGCAGCAAAAATTTCAGATGGTAACTGATACCTCCATGGGTGCTATCAAAATTCCAATCTTTCAAATACTTCGTAAGAGCGGGTATACATATTTTCTGTCCAAATTTCAACTTGATATCCCCATTTTTGTACAAGCTAGAATGTTTACAAAGTTTTTTTTAATGAAAAAACGGAAAAACACGAATATCTCGAAAGCTTTGTACGAATTGGTATATATGTGTTGATCGGTTTAGACAGAAGGCGTCGAAAGAAATATGTTTAAAACAAAAAAATGGAAATAGGTCCATTAGTTTTGAAGATATTTGCGGAAAACAATTAAAAAACGAATCGCTTTTTCTTCAAAACTATTAGATCGATCGAGCTGAAATTTTGCACAGAGTTAGTCCTTATGAAGACCTCTAATCTGACAAAATTTCAAATTTTTTGGAATTACTTTAGCCATTTAATTACTCAATTTTCTAAAAATTGACCACCGGAAAGGTGACGGTGGACATCGTCACATACAGACATGGTCGCCAAACTTCGTATTTTTGCGTTTTAGACCATTCTTCACCATTTCCAATCAAAATTAGAGAATATGAAAATTGAAAGATTGCAATGCTTCCATTCGGAATCAAAAATGGGTCATTTTCTACTGTCCCCCGCATAATAATGAGATTTCAAGAGGAAAAACATCGAAAAATGGGTTATCAAATGTTGTCATAATACTGAGGTTTTTTTTATAGAAAATATATGAAAAAAATCTTTATTTATGTATGAAAATCACCACAGTTGTTCGCGAGCTATGTTTTTTTTCAACTTCGAGTTTTTGTCAGGCAAACGATTGACGTTAAGGGAATCGCATACAGTACTTGATTCTAAGTCTACCTATTAGCGATTCGGAGATACAAAAAATCCAGAGTGACCGAGTTTAACTGGAATGTCCCATATGTTGTTATTGACAATTCAGTTAATGGAATATTCAGCCGTAATATTTTGAGTGCTCCCAAATTGTCGAAATTTTATCGCAAGTTTTGTTGCATAAAAGCGAGAGGGAGAAGTTTTGCCGATTTTATAGCAAAACTTATGGCAATCGTTGATGTGCAGGAAAAGTCCTGAAAAAAATTCTACATTTTTGGAGCACAAGGGACATTCGGTTGTTTTATCCCCCATTTGAATTTCGACCGATAGAAATGCATTATGACAGAACTTAATTTATGTTAACAGAACATTTCTATTCAAGGTTGCCATGTGACTAAATAGAAATAACAGAAAATTAGCGAAATAATTTTACCCATGTTCGATAAGTTATTGGAAAGAAAAACTCCTAGGCCATATATAGCCGGTATAGCTAGGCCATACATTCCTGGCAGGGACAGACTCTAAAAGTTTAAAAATTATTCACGATTTCATTAAAAGTAATAATATAAGAATTTGAAAATATGTTCATAGCAACTAAATACAAGTTAACAGAAAAACCAATGTTCATATGTAAATAATACTCGGATGAAGTTATGTAAATAATCCAACGATGGATCAATACTTATCAATAAAAAAAATAAGAATAATTTTACCTCCACTTCTCCGCAAAACGTGAAATACTACATTTTTATTGATTGTCGTTCAAATGAAGGAATAATCCATGGAATGTAATTTCAATTTTCAGGCCCATATGACGATGGAAATTACTGAAAATTGGAACGATTTAGGCAACTATTATTCTGACTTTTCAATCTATTGGAAATTCCATTAAATATGATATTCAATTTTTACAATAAACTGAAGAATTTCAATGAAAAAAAATGGAGAATAAACTGGAGAATTCGAGCGGTTATAAAAAATCAAGAATCACCTAAGAAATTTCAAATTGACAATATTGAAAAATTGAATGCAGATATTACTTAAATTTGACAAAATTTTAGCCGAGAAACATGGCGAGACGAAGCTGTCACCATGTCTTCCTCATATGTGTTCAATATTTCTTGACTTTCTTCTCTCATATTTTTTTTCAAGATATTCATAAAAAAAAGGTAAAAGCGAAAAATCTCGACAGGATTTGATACAAAATCTTTTATATATTACATAGCTTCAGTAGTTCAATGAATTAATTAATTAACAAATTCCTAAAATACAGTTAACGCTACGTTGTAACACTAGTGTGAAACTGGGGGTCATCGAAAATCAGTTCGTGTTTCTTCAATTCACTCCTTTCAGATTTATGGAGTAGTTTGAATATTCCAGTTCCCACTGGTACGGGAATTCCCATGATGATGGACTCCGAGACACCGCAGATTGCGTCTGTTTGGCCATAGTACGCGGCATCGAATAAATGATCAGCCGTTTTTTCAAACTAAAACAAAATGGAATAAAAAAGAAGGAACCAATATTGAGAAAATTAGTACATAGACTAGGTAGGATGCGCTGGCTCGGTTGCATATATGGGGCCATTTAAGTATTACGTAAGTAATATTTTGTGCAATTTTAATTCTATTCTCGTCATTTGGCATGAGCTCCAAGTATTGCAACTTCCATGCGACTACCGTTAAGAAAATTTTGCAAATTTATACATTCAGTCAAAGTTTCCCAACATGGCAATGGTGTAAGCATTATTGTCGACGTAGGTTTTTTGTACATTCTTCGCCTGCAATGCTGACATAATATTTAATTTTCACTTCCTTGCCCTCTTTCCCCGGCCACCCAAAGTCAGCGTTTATCAGAACTGCCTAAAAACACAAAAACAAATGTTTTTGTAAAAAAAACTGGGCCAAGAAAAAGTTTTGTTTGATTCCTACTGGGAAATCGAAGTTTTTGAAAAATACATAGAAATAAAAAAGGAAGCCAAGTTAGGAATTTTGAATAAATGGTGCACATTCAGGTTTCTATAAGAAAAATAGTTCTCAATGGAATAAGTATTCTAAAAAAATTCTCCATGAAATAAAAAATCAGTAGG